CGGCGACTTGCTCTTTCTGAGTTGTGTTCCGCATTCACCTGCGCTCGGTTTTTAGCAGCTCCTGGTTCGCACCAGCGAAGCGCGTATTTACTCGGAGGTGCTGCGCCCAGCGATACCGGTGGACCACATTTTTTTCTGCTGCTGGACTTTGGAATGTGGGGTAGTCAGTCTCACCAGTGTCACGCCGAAGCAGGAGGCCAACTTGGAGTTTAAGGAAAGCAATCTTTCTGTGTAGGGCCGTCTCAGTCACTATCTGAGTAGGTCCCACGCTATATTATGTGAGAATCAGGGAAAGCGTACTAAAGAATTCACTCTTCTAATAGTCTTTTTAAAAATAGGACGGCATTAACTGGGGATTTTCAGTCTAGGCATATCTCCCCTCCTTCCCCCCCCCCCCCCCCCCCCCCCCCCCTCTTCTAAGAATTATTCCCCAGAAGGCTCATTTATTAAAAAAAATCTAGATAGAACTGCAAGTGGGAGGAGTTCCAGGAAAGGATACTCAGGAGTTTTTGTTTGAGAAAGCTCTTTTCTCCATGTTGTGTAACCATATTGTAGGTGTGGGGTCACCAAAACCCATCCTCTATTTGAAAACTAGCTTCTAAAGTAGTTGGATTAAGCATAGTTTCACAGTTCTGCTCTGGTGTGTACTTCATACCTTTTACAGTTTGCTTTCCTTTGCTTAAACTAGAGTTTTTAATGATTTTGTTTCGTTTTTCTCAGCTTTTTTGTGTGCTAACCAGCTTTTAAGGTTTCTATTTTAAAATCACCAGGCCATGTATGTTCCAAAATGTGTAAGTATAGAGCATTTTAAAACGTGAGACCCTTGCATGCTGGGTGTGGTGGTGCAAGCCTTCCTTGCCAGCACTTGGGCAGCAGAGGTAGGGGGATTTGTATGAGGCCAGCCTGGTCAACAAAGTGAGTTCCCTGTCTCTAGGAAAAAGGAGAGACCCTTGCATTGTGTGACAGGTATGTCCATTGAAACATTCTCTGTATTAATTCCCAAACCAACCTACCGTTTTCAATTTCAGTTTGTTAAGACCTCTCTCATTTTCAGAAAATTAGGAAGCTCCAATGTGGGTGGGGTGTTTACACACCCACCCCAGTCCTTACTGTTAGAAAGTAAACAGTCTGCTCCATTTGTGAATTTTCCAGATGGAGAAGATTCTGCTTCCTTGTCTCAGTCTTCTTGGACTCTTTAACACCTCTAGAAGCAGAAGAAGCTCAGTAAAGTCTGTTTATACAGTGCTAGCTTTAGCAAGTTTGTGTAGGAAGGTGGTATAGAGGTTAATGTTTGGAGTTGAATTATCCAAGTCCTAGTTAAATTGAAGCTTACGGGTGTGTTTCTGCCCATGATGTATGCCACGGATCCCTGGGGAAGAGAATAGAAGCTTGTAAGGGACCCAGTTTGTGCACATGTAATGGGCAGGAGCTAGTTGCACTAAGAATTCATTGATACGGGTAAGCCCTGTCTTTTGTCACAGGATTTAGGTTAGTCTAAAGGAACCACCCTTTACAAAATTTGGGGACTTAATTTGAGTATATTGAGCCTAGCTTTGTATATGTATGTATAAATATGTATATAGTCAATAAGCTAAGTAGCAGTCTTAAAAGGAAGGGACGAGACTTCTTGGGAATAGTCTTTTCCCTTCAGATTACCTGATTTAGATAGGCTCTTCCTTTTTTTTTACACTTGTGGATTTGGGCCTGCAGGAAGCCTGACCTGAATCAGCTCCTAGCTATGGAGCTAAAAATAGGGCACTCTTAGAGGACTTGCTAAAACAGTGTCTCAGCTTTTCCCAGTGTTTATCACTACCTTGTCTCAAAGCTTCTACCTTTAGCCTATTTTCATGTATGAATATATCAGACCGGTGACTTTTGAGTGTCCAGGACTTGAGAGGTAATTTATTATTTGAAGAGTTGTCATTTAAACCTTGCTTTCTTTCTTTTGGCTGAATAAATTAACAATATTCTACACTTGTGGGTGTTGATGAGTTTTGCATCTGAGCATCAGGTTCAGATTGATGCCATATTCTGAAGCTTTTGTTAATTGGAGGGAAAAAATAGATATTCCTGATATTGTTACTGATGAGAAACAAGCTTTAGTAACCTCTGTTTGCCACCTGTTGTTAGGTGAATGGCTTTAACACTGGAGGCGCTTTGCTGATGGCAGGAAAGCCCGATCGGATGACATTGTGGCTCATATTAATACTGCTTGATTCATAACAGTGTCTGATGTAGCTTCTAGGAAAGATAGATTGCCAAATGTAATTTTTTGAAATGGCAAAAACCAGTTGGTGATTTTACAAATATGTGCTGAAGGAAGCTTAGACTGTATAAGGCTACTTTTTAATAATGTGCTAAGACTGTAAGGAAGGTTTACCTAGTTAAGCTGAAAACCAGGAGGTAAATTGAAAAGCTAACCTCAAGGAGTACATCTTTGGTCTGTTGGCTGTTAGAGTATGCTGGCTATCGGGGGAAGTTGCATCTGTGGTTCTTGTATAAATGAGCCCTGGCTGTTATCCAAGAGGGTTATAAAATGTGCACTGGGGCCTCTCCTTGAATTTGCCTCAGTTTACCATTAGGGTGACTCAGTTGGAGTTGTATGTAACCCTTAAAACTAGAAGAGGTCTTGACAGTTGGAGGTGTTATTTCAAATGTATATGGGTGGTGATATGGGATGTGAGTTTTAACCTTGAACTTTTGGAGTGCTGGGAATACTTTTATTTGAGGTACATATTAGTAGAGAGTAATTTTACTTTATTCTCTTTAAGTGTGGTGAAAGTATTGGGGACTACCATTTGATGAGACATTTAGTTTGTTTCATTTCAGAGTTCAAATTTTGATAAAAGATAAAATTCCAGTGAATTTTTTCTTTTGTTGAATTGATTATTTTAGGGAGGCAACAATGAGAGATCTGAACTACTTTGTGGTTGGTCTCGAACTCACAGAGATCCACCTGCCTCTGCCTCCAGAGGGCTGGGATTCAAGGCTTGTGCCACCAATGCCCGGCTTGTGTGTGTCTTTGAGCATACCACTTTGTATGTGTAGAAGCCAGACATTTGTGGGAGTTCCTCATTCCACCAGGTCCTGGGGATCAAATTGGTGAAGGTCTTTAACAGCTGAACCATCTTGTTGGCCCTGGGTTTATATCTAAGAACAAATCCACAGCCTCTTGGGATGACATCACTTAGTTTAGCATGGCTGCCCATTTGGGTATTTTGAATTTTGTAAGCTTGATAAAGTTACACATAATTATTTTGAAACAGTAGTAGACTTATATTTTCAAATAAGGCTGTTACTGATAAGGACTTTTTCCTTTTGGTGTTGGGGGTTGAACTAAGGCTTTTTATGTGCTGGATGATCTACCATTGAGTGATACTCCTATCTGTCTGTTCCACTCCCCCCTCCTTCTCTTTTTTTTTGAGGCAGGGATTCCCTGTGTAGACCTAGTTGTCCTGGAACTCTCTTCTGTAGACCAGGCTGGCCTTAAAACCAGAGGCCTCTAAAGGTGTGCACAACCACATCCAGCTCCAACTGTTTTTCAATTCTTTTTTTTAAAAATATAATTTATTCATTTGTATTTTATGTGTGTTGGTGCTTTGCATGTATGTGTGTGTCTGGAACAGGAGTTTCAGACAGTTGTGAGCTGCCATGTGGGTACTGGGAATTGAACCTGGGTCCTGTGGAAGAGCAGCTAGTGACCTTAAATTAACTACTGAGCCATCTCTTCAGCCCTTTTTTTTTTTTTTTTCAGTTTTTTATTTTGAGATCAGTTCTCAGGGCTTCTATTCTCTGTGAGGAGCAAAGTTACTGTAGAAGGCTGGCAACAGAGGAAAGCCTCTCAGGTACAGCAGTGTATTCAAAGGAGTGATTTTCATGACCTCAGGAGAAATGGTGACAAATTCTCTATAGAATGACATTAGGTACTGTGGTGGTGCACACCTTTAATCCCAACACTCAGGAGGCAGAGGCAGGCTGGCATCTGGGTTCAAGCCAGAGCGAGTTCCAGGACAGCCAGGGCTACACCTCAGAGAGAAACCCTGTCTCAAAATGCCCCCCCCCATGACAATAGGCTTATAAAGTATTATTTTTATATATTTTAGTCATTGTTCAATTGCTGTGAAGAGACCATGACCAAGGCAACTCTTAGGAAAGAAAAAGCATTTAATTGGGAGCTTGTTGACAGTTGCAGAGGTTTAATCCATTATCACCTTGGTGGGGGTGTGTGGTGGTACACAGGGAGGCTGTGGAGCCGTAGCCGAGAGCTACATCAACATCTGGGGGCTAGGCATGCAATGCTGGGCTTGGCATGGACTTCTGAAGCCTTACTCCAGCAAGGCCACAGCTCCTAATCCTTCTAATCCTTTCAAATAATTCTACTTCATGATCAAGCATTCAAATCCATGAGCCTATGGGGCTTTCACATTCAATCCACAATGTGTTATGTCATACTGCTCAGAGGAAGAGGTTAGAATCAGTAAGGATTAAAGTTTTTCCCACATAATTTTGAGTGAAAAAAGGCATTAGCTTGTAACTTAAGTCTGTTTTTTAACAAAATGCTTAATAATGGGTTGTTTGTTTTGTTTTGTTTTAGGTGTTGCACTCTCAGTCTCGCCATGTGGAAGTTAGAATGGCCTGTATTCACTACCTTCGAGAGAACAGAGAGAAATTTGAAGCGGTAATTTTTAAATTCAGTTATGATGGTGTTTTCATTTGCATTTACATTTTGACCATTGGAAATGTTCTAGTGGGTATTTCACAATCTACACTTTTTTAAGAATTTTTTTTCATTGGGAATTTCATAAATGTATACATTGTAATTTGATCATAGCTGTTCCCCTTGGACTCACCCCTAGTACATTGCCTTGTCAACCTCAATCTACCAAGTAGCTTCTCAGCTAGAGTAGGGTCTTGTGAGCCCTTCCCCTATCTATGCTGAATTTTGACTAGTTCTATTGTGTGAATAACCACAGCTTCTATGAGTTTGAGTGCACAAATGTATGTTGTGTTTAGAAGACAGTGTTTCCTAGTATTCCTCTCCATCCTTCAAATCACATTCTTTTAGTTCTCTTTAGGTGATGGGGAGGTGGATATAGATTGGATCACTCGTGGTCACTCACTCTCAACACTTTTACAGCTTATGTGTTGATCTTTGTCCCCTGCATAAAAGAAGGTTCTCTGAGCCAGGGTGACAGCACAAATATATGGGTATTTAATCCTAGCACTCGGAAGGCAGAGGCAGGGTCTACAGAGTGAGTTCCAGGACAGCCAGGGCTACACGGAGAAACCCTGCATCAAAACAACAACAAAAACAAACGCAAGTCTTTATAAGTATAGCGGTTTAATACATGTTGATTTAGCGAAACCAACAACTGCCCTCCCTAGCCATACTTTTAGTCAAAAGCAATGAACTCCTTCCAGTGGAGCAGGACTCATCTATCAGAAAGCAATTGGTTATCCCTAAAACAGTCATGCCTTTATTGGACCAGTGGGTACCTCTTGCCTGGCAGGCCAATATTGTAGCATGCAGGGTTCAGGGCTAGAAAGGCCATTGTAGTTCCTCTCCCAACAGCCTAATAACACCTTGCATTATGAAAGCTAGCCAGCAGAGAGGAAGTTTCCCAGTCAGTTCCAGCTTGATTTCCCTGTGTGCTCCAATCAAAATTTGTGGTGTCTTCAACAGTATGGTCTTGCCATCTAGTTCTGGTACACAGTGAAGAGCTGAGTAATAGTCTGTGTTCTTTTGGGGGCCCCTGAAGCCTCCCTGACTAATAACTTTTAAGGGTGATACCTACCCCATGCCTGGTACTGAGAATTACATATAATAGAACTGTATTTTCTGAGAGCATAATTGTCCACCATGCGTGTGATAGCTCCTTTTAAAATAAACTTTAAAAAATTTGTCTTACAAAGTAAGGGTTCCTTGAGGCTTTTTTTTTTTTTCCCCCAAGACACTTTGTTTATATAATCGCCTTGACTGTCCTGGAACTCACAGAGATCCACTGCTTCTGGGAGTGCTGGGATTAAAGGTGTGGGCCACCATGCCTGGCTTTCCTTAAGGCCTTTTAAAATACCTGTAGTTTTGGTTAATCTACCCTCCACCTCTTCTTTGTAATACCCTTGCTCTTATTCAGCGATTCCCTACCTCCTCTTTGAAGTCACTTACTTGTTCTACAATCCCTTTTCCTTGAGGCTTTTCCCTTCCCTATTTCATGAGTCCTAACATCCTGACCTCTGCAGACACCCAGTTAAACATTAGTGTAGGATGTAAAAATACTTAAGCATATTCAGTTGTTATATTTTCTAGGCTTTTTCATGTTCCTTTAGAGCATGTTGATGATGGCTAAGGCACTGTGACCTCTGAGGCATGGAAGGATGACCTAAGTTTGTGAGCTTTATTTGACTTGGTAAGGGCATAGGTATTGAGGGTAATAATGGTATCTGTGATTGTTAATTAACAGTGAGTTAAAAACAAATTGAGTAAAAACAAGTTACTTTTATCAAAGGCATTTATAAATGTTTAATTTTTAGGATGTATTGTGGAATTACATACCAGAATTCTATAATTAATAAAATGTTGTATAGCAATGTAGTGTAACTTTCTCAGTATATAGTTGTAGTCAGTGGAACAAAGCCTTCTAGCATTTATGAGTTACTGATTTTAAGACTTAGGTTTCTATAAAATGACAACTTTAAATGCTATTTCCTCCTGCTGACTGGTAATGAATATTGACATTTTACCAATAAATAGAACTTCAGTGTTCATATGCAAAGTTCTTAGTGTGTTGCTAGTTTGTATCCCTGTATTTAAGCCAATTGAGAACACTGGTTTAGGATGGATAGTGATACATTTCTGGAAGTATATCTTGCTAGATAGGTTGGTTGAAAATTTGTCTTATTAAAAAGCTGATAATGTAGAACCTGGTGATATGGAAGGATTAGGACATTGTGGCTGGCTGCAACGTAGCACTGGGAAAGTGAAATAGTTTGTAATATCTGGAGGAATTACCAAGAATTAGTCATAACCTTGAGATAAGGCTATTGATAATAGTTTATATTTTTAGCATTGAACCCTGTATGCCAGGTTGTTTTAAGTGCCTTACATATATTTATTTAATCAACATAACTTTAGGAGATAAGGTCAGATGATAGAATTTCCAATTAAAAAAAGGTTCATTGTTGATCATAAGAACCTGCTAATTTCAGCTGGGTAGTGGTGCACACCTTAATCCTAGTACAAAGGAAGCAGAGGCAGACAGATCTCTGAATTTGAGGCTGGCCTGGTCTACAGAGTGAGTTCCAGAATACCTAGGGTTACACAGAGAAACCCTGTCTCAAAGAAAACAAACAAAAAACCCAAAACAGACAAAATAACCTTGTTTCTTTTGGAAGAATTGGAAAGGGGTTTGTGGGAAGGAATGTTGAGTGTGGCCTCTGTTGAGTATGACCTCTAAGAATTTGGCACATAGGAAGGAGACTCAGATTGGATGCAGGTTTGTGTTAGGATACCATGAAGGTCTTCCAGGTGTGAGAGGTTTTAGGGTTTGTTTGGTTTGGAAGTAAACATTTCATGGAAAAACAGTGCCTGATTAGTAGGGCACTTAAATGTGTTTACATGTTGGGATTTAGGACAGTTTTGAAATTTGATAGTATACAATTTATAAAAGAATTCACAATCTATAAAGATTCTGTGGGTCTTGAAAAGACTTCTGTGTTTAAGTGTATCACTCTTGCTAATTTAACTAGTATTGTAAATTAAATAAAGTTGAACTTAATAGCCATATAAGAATACTGTTTAGCACTTAATTAACTTTTCTACTGCTTTGACAAAGCACTATGACCAAGGCCACTTATAAAAGAAAGCATTTAATTTGGAACTCATGGTTGCATAGGGTAGTAAGAATTTATGACCATCATGGGTGGGAGCATGGCGGCAGGTATGGTACTGGAGTGGTAGTGAGAGCTTACTCTGATTGTCAGGCAGGAGACAGAACTAACTGAATGGTATGGGCTTTTGAAGCTAAAAGGTGATAACCTCCTCCAAGCCCATACCTCCTAACCCTTTCCAAAGGTTTCTACTGCCTTGAGACCAAACATTTAAATATATGAGCCTAGGTAAAGCCGTCATTCAAACTACCAAATTGCTTTTTCAAGTTTGTGTAGTTGTTACAATGAAAACAAAAAGTGGTTGGGTATAGATTGAGTAAACTTATTTCAAGATACAGAAGCAAAGCAAGCAGTATCGTAAAAAAAAAAAAAAAAAAAAACAACACCATTGAAATTATCTGATTTCCTATTACTCTTTGTGGTTAGAATAATTTCTCAGTTACCTATTTCATTTTGCCTATACCCACTGACGATTGCCAAATTACTCTGAAAGTATTGTTTTGATAATTTCTCAGTTCACAGTGCCATCTGCAGTGGCCTGGAATTGCTTTTTCTGTCTTGCTTGAAAGTCGTGTCTTGTTCCTTCTGGGCCCTCTATGAACTGGCCCACTTAACTGCCCTCTCATTCAGCTTTCTACCAGGTTGCCCTGCTTCAGTTGGCTAGATTGCTCAGGTGTTAAAGTTCTGGTTAGCTCTTATTTTGAGTCATCCTCTTCCTAGAAATCTTTCCCAGCAACCTTTTCTCCTTTAAATTCTTTAGTATATTTACATTGTTATTATTAAGGATTTATACAGATACTCATGAGTATCTTTTAATATTGCTGATAAAGTCTAGGCTTGTATAAGAACCCCGTGACTCAAAGTGAACTTTACAAAGTAAACCTGTTGTTGTTTTGGCATGTTTCTTACATAGTATTCCTAATTTTAAAAATTTTTTTTTTTTTTTTTTTTTTTTTCTGGGTAGTGGTGGCACATGCCTTTATTGCCAGTACTAAGGAGGCAGAGGCAGGCAGATCTCTGTGAGTTTGAGGCCAGTATGTCCTCCAGAGTGAGTTCCAGGACAGCCAGGGATACAGAGAAACTCTTCCACAGAATAGAAAAAAATAAAATTTAATGTATATGTGCTTGCATGTATGTGTAAGTACATGTAAGGTAGATGTGTTCAGATACCTTAGCCAGAAGAGAGAGCTGGAGATATAGGTGGTTGTGTGCTGCTGCATGTGAGTGCTAGGGATTGAAAGCAGGTCTTCTGCAAAATCGAGACGTGCTTTAGCCCACTGAACCAGGCCCCTAATATATTTTTTTCCCTTGTAGTTTATAGAAGGGCCATTTGAAGAATATTTGAAACGTCTGGAAAATCCACAGGTATGTATTAGTTGTATTTCTTATGTGTATCCAAATATGTATTAAAATTAGTTAATGGAAGATTGGTAGTACATTGTATGACAGTTGAAGCAACTGTACCCTTTGTGCAGTGCTTAATTGAAAGATAGTTGGGCTGGGCGTTGGTGGTGTACGCCTTTAGTCCCAGCACTTGGGAGGCAGAGGCTTGAGGATCTTTGTGAGTTCAAGGCCAGCCTGGTCTACAGAGCTAGTTCCAGGACATCTAGGGCTGTTTCACAGAGAAACCCTGTCTCAAAAAAAAGAAGAGAGATAGTTGTCCCTGGGGGTGGTGGCACATGCCTGTAATCCCAGCACTTGTGAGGCAGAGGCAGGTGGATCTCTGTGAGTTTGAGGCCAGTCTGGTTTACAGGGCTGTTCCACACAGAAACCTTGTCTGTAAAAGCAAAAAAAAAAAAAAAAAAAAAAAAAAAGAAACCAAACAAAACAAAAAAACAGAAAGATAATTGGAGCTCTTCCTAGAAGTTGTTTTGCTGAGGAGAGAGTCCTGCTGTCTTTTATATTTGTCATTATGACATGTGAATGTAGCACACAAGATCTGAAATTACATGGATAATTTTTGGAATGATTTGTTAGGGTGTATGTGTGACTTGGATGGGACAAAGCTTAATTTCTTTAGGGAAAGTTCTTCTGCCCTTCCTACCTTTTTCCTTCCCTGCTCACTGAAAATCCATATCATAGAATGTAGGCTAAGGATACAAAACTTAACAGCAGTTTTCTTAGCACGTTGTGTTTCAGTCCCCATGTCTTAGGGTTTCTGTTGCTGTGAAGAGACACAGCAACTCTTACAAGGGAAACATTTAATTGTGGTGGCTCACTTAGAGTTTCAGAGGTTCAGTCCACTGTCACCTGTCACTTCAGTCATCATTTCTTGGTGTTGGAAACATTTCCAGTTGTCTTCATTAGTTAAATGTGGGCAGTTAGAGTGCACTCATGTGTTAGGCACTGGAAACTGCTCCTCTTACTTGCACTAGTCATCTTTTCTACTTGCTGGGCTCTAACCACCATTCTACCAACTAAAGTATTTTCTTCTTCATTCTGTTTTTATTTGTTTTGTTTTTGTTTTTTGAGACAGGGTTTCTCTGTGTAGCTTTGGCTGTCTTGGGATTCACTTTGTAGACTAGGGTGGCCTTGAACATACAAGAGATCCTCCTGCCTCTGCTTCCCTAGTGCTGGGATTAAAGGGCATGTGCCCCCACTGCCCAGCAAGAATATTTTGTTTAAGGATTTATTTGTATAAGTGTTTTGCCTGCATGTATGTCTATGTA